TCGCTTATTACAAACCTTCCTCCACCGTTCGCCGCCCAAACCCAGTCCCTTCAGATCGGCTTTAATGCAATCTTTCCACCTTCGCTTCGGTCTACCCCTCGGACGTTTATCATTCGGTACAGCAAATATTAACCGTTTAGGAATTCTCTCGTTACTAAGCCCAACAATTTTACAAGCCCATTTGATTCGCCGTGATGAAATTACCTCAATTATATTACCCGGATACAGTTCACGCAATTCGGTGTTGTGTAACGTTCTGAACTCTCCGGCCAACTCATCCTTCTTTGGTCCGAATATTCTACGCAATACTTTATTATCAAAAACATTAAGACGCTGCTCATCCATTAATGTGAGCGGCCAAGTTTCGCATCCATAAAGAACTGTTGGTAAGATAATGGTTTTATAGATTCTAATTTTTAAGTTCCGGAACAAGAGGCGCGAGCTAAGTAGTTTTGTTACAGAAAAATAACAAGAGTTTCCCGCCTTTAGTCTAACCTTAATCTCTTCTTCAATTTCGTTTTTTCTAGTTATCGTAGAACCTAGATACCTAAACTTCTCTACGTGTTCAAACATATTACCATCTATACCGATATCACCAGTAGTATCGCCATTTTTGCAGGTAACCATATATTTTATTTTATCCGCGTTTATTTCGAGCTCTAGTTCTTTACCGGCTTTCATTAACGTTGTTGTATTTAGTTTTATAGTGTCCACGTCTTCGCTTAACAGTACCAGATCATCTGCACAGCCCAGCACGGATGTTGTCCCACCCAGATCCAACCCTTCGTCGGTACGCATTACCTCCCTAATGGCATGTTCTAATGCCAAATTGAACAGGACAGGCTAAAGGGAATCCCCCTGTTTTAAACCCGAACGAACCTCCAATTTTTCGGACAGATTATTACCGATTCTAACTTTATTGAGTGTTTCAGTCAAGCACATCCTGACTAGATTTACTAGTTTTTTGGAATCCCCTGCTCGATTAGAATATTATACAGTTTCTGGCGGTCAATATAATCGTAAGCCTTCTTGAAATCGATATATAGCTGGTGAACAATACCGTTTTACTCTATTTTTTTCTCTAATATTTACCGTAAAGAAAATATTTGATTCTGTCTAAATCCGCATTGGTAGTCTCCGATAATTTCCTCGGCGAATTCCGTGATTCGAGTGGTTAAGAATAAATGAATATTTTATAACATACCGGACGTAGTGAAATTCCTCGATAGTTATAATCCTATCTGTCTCATAGGTAAAAAGAATTAATATTTGAGCATCCGTAAAAAGTACTATTTAAATCAAACCTTAGCCAATGTTTGTTCAACATAAATTTATCTAATTCGAAATGGCTGTAAAAAAAGTTGTTAATATAGTTATATAAAATCTTTAATAAATCTTGATTTCAGTGTGTATCCACATTATCCACACTTATTGTAGTTTCCCGAAAATTTTGGCTAATTAAAAAAATTATTTTTACGTTGGAGTGTTACAGCCAATTTTTATTTTTAAAAAAATCTAAGTGGGTTTTCATAGTTGACTACCTAGACGATTAAGGTTTAGAAATAGATTTCTTTTTGTGACTCCCAAAAAAATTCTCCGATGTGAGATTGTCTTAGTAAGCAGTGCTCGATCCTGATTTATTTCTGAGGACTCCTTAACTAATTGGGACCGGAGCCTCCCTCTCTCCTAGGTACGCTACAGAATTTCCACGTTGGCACTCCTTCCCTAACTACTGCAGTCAAAATGTATGGTCTATAAGAGTCCTGTTAGAGTCCTGGCCAACACGCGACCCGCCGAGGGATTTTAAATTTCTATCATTGAGCTGCTTCTAACTTTTGGAGGGGGCACGAATAGTATTAAATTTTCATTAAGGCTCATATATTGTCAAAACTATCTTAAATTTTAGAAAAAAAGAAACTGAGGAAAAAACAACTTTCTTCAAGGTCTTATACAATTCTCTGATTTTTCCAAAACTTTTATGAACGTTTAAAGTTATTATGAATGGACCTGGGATACATCAAACATCAACGTAGTCAAGCAACCTGATACTATTGCTTCCGTTAAATAACATTTTCGTTAGTTCCACAGTTGGACAAACTGTTTCTTCAACAGCAGGAGCACATTCGATGTTTTAAATAAAAGGGAAATGAATGTCTGCATTTAATGTTTGAAAAGAAATCATCTTTTCCCCAATCTTAGAGAAGGATTTGATTGCACTGGAATCGAACGCTGATTACCCACAATCTCATGAAATTTCTCAATGATTTTGAATTCTTCGTCTAGTGAAATATGACATATCTCATAATTAAACAACTTTAATTAATACAAAATAACTCCTAAAATTAAAAAATAAATAAAAAAAAAGTTCAGTTCCTTAAATTAATTTGTGTATAATGCATGTCCCCACCAATATCAACGGTATCTGATTACGTCATCGGATACTTAAACTGTTAGTAGGTCATTATCAACGAAGCTATCGATTTTATTATACTACTTTATTTATATATATTTTTGACAATATGCTTTTAATTAAATAAGAACTATAACCGTTTCCTTAATTTTCGGAACATTGTCAAATTAAAATTAACATGTGTTTATTATTTGTAGAGCTTCTGAAAACCTGATTTTTTCAATAGAAATAATGATGAGAACAGTAAACCGAAGTGCTGCTATAATCCTCTATTTTTATAGATTTGAAGGTTTCATTTTGTAACCTTTTGTTTTTGAATAACTTTGTCTTTCTCGGATTTAGCTAAATTATTCGTATGCACCTAAATCGTATTCGTACAGATTGGGAGCAAAATATATTTTAATCAAAAAATCATAGTTTTTAAGTAATTTTTTATTATAGTTAGATAATTGATTCTTCTGATTTCACTGGGTTGAAAAACTTTCTTTTAATTTTTGTTCTTACTTTATGTTATTGTTATGAATTGTATTTGCTGTTTTTGTTTTATCACCAATTGAAAAAAAAAATTAATGTGATTACTTTTAATTATATAATATCCTGTAGTAAATTAAATATGGGAGATTATTATTTTATTTTTCACAAGATTTTTAAAATACAATTTTACTTTTTAACTTATTCAAATCTTTTAATTATGATTTTTTTCGGATGTTATATGGTATAACTGATGTATATTTGTGATTATTTCATCTATCAAAATGTGACAGGCATCAATTAGTTTGATTTTTGAGCCATTGAAACAAACGTTAATTGGTTTTCATAACTTGTTCAATTCAAACATGAAATTTCTTCATTTATTCTGAATATTTTCTATTAAAATGGCTTGCTTTCCTAGTATTATTGTTAAACTGACTGCAATCCCTTAAGTTCTGTGTATATAGTTGGTTACAGGAAAACAACATTTGTTATGTCATTAAAACAAAAATAATTGCTGAGACTTGTTTATAACATTAATAGCATTGAAATTATACATCTCTGTGTCTTTAATGAAAGTGCATAAGTGTTGTTACTGAAACTTTGAAGAATCGAAAGTGAAATGATTGTGGGTGAAGTGCATTTTTGGATTCAGCAGATATTGACAAAGGTGGTTTTGATTTATTATTGTTTATGGTCATGTTATATTATGTATTTTAATTGTCTTATTTTCCAAAGCAGTTATACATTTTTTAATGCCATTATTTTTTTTTTTATTGGCGTTACATACCTTTTAGATCTTTAACCACCTGGACAAGCTTACTCCATCTCTACCTGACTTGAGCTATTGCTTTCCAGTCGTGTACTGTCTGTTCTGCAGCATCTTCGTTGATTCAATCCATTCACCAAGTTTTTGTCGTGTTATGTTTGTTACTCAAACATCTTATTCTACACTTCTTGATGTAAAATACAAGATCTCTTATAGGTTAGTGATTCCCTTGTTGGTTAATCATAGGTTCTTTAAAATCTTTTATCTAGATAAACCATTTCTGATTTACTTCACTCATTGAATATACTCCCTATATTTCCATATCCTAGGTCATATCCTTTACACAGTCTATACAGCTGACATCCCAACACTGTCATCACCACATATGCCGATGACACATGTATCCTATCAGTTAATAACGACCCGTCAATCACATCCCAAACCCTTCAATCACACATCACAAACCTTGAAGAATGATGTCAAAACTGGAGAATTAAAATAAATCTCATAAAATTACCTTTCAGTATCCTTTAACACCACCTCACCTATTCCTGTTGAACAAATCCGATACCTAGGACTCCACCTGGACAAACGACTAACTTGGAATCCTCATACCTGACTAAAACGACAAGAAACTGCTCGACGTTTCCGACTACTTCAACACTTACTAGACAAACGCTCTAACCTTCCAATTAATTACAAAAGACTCATATACATCACTATAATGAGGCCTATTTGGATTTACGAAGTTGAGCTATGGAGCTCCACCAAGCCTTCAAATTCCTCTCTTATAGAATCCTTACGATCCAAAATCCTTCGTAAAATCCTCAATGTTCCTTACTTTGTTACAAATAAAATCATCCACAATGACCTTAATGTTCCTTATGTTTCAGATTTGGCCCAATCCAGGTATCTATCCTTCCATAATAAACTTCATAACCATCCCAACTCTCTTGTTTCTAATCTTGCTTCCTATTCAATTCCTGATAAAACTCTGGGGCATCTGAAAATAAGATGGTCCCGTGATCTCCTAATATAGATATATATTATTAGAGTGCTACCAATAGGTAGTTTCTCAACATGTGTTTCATGTCATTATATCCATGTACGAATTTACTAGATTTATTTCTTTTTATACATTTGTAAATATCATATAAATAATAATAAAAAAATATTCATCTCGAGAATTTATACTGACCAAACTACATATTCTATTTTGTCTCTTAAGAAACTATTATAACCATGTATATTAATTGATATTTAAAAAAATCTATATATATTACTTGTTTACAATTTTTTTTTTTATTATTTAATTAAATTAAGAGATTTTATATCAGTCTTTGTTTTTAGGCCAAGGTGAAAGGTTGCGAAATGGCAACTATAGATGGTCGGCCAGCACAATATGGCATCTCCCTCAAGCAGCTGCGTGAGCTCATGGAGCACCGTGGCCGTGAGGGAGTTGTCAAAGTTCAAGAATTTGGAGGTGTTCAAGAATTATGTAAAAAATTATACACCTCTCCTAGTGAAGGTCAGTATTGTTTTTTTTTAATGGAAGAAACTGCTCATTCATTGATTAGTTCTACTACCATATTTACAGTTGACATTTATTTTTTAAACTAAAACCTATGCTTCAGGATTTCCAACTTACATATATATTATATATTTTTAATATTTGGTATGAATGTACTGAGGCCTCATTGCCACCATTGTGAGCATATATAATTATACACTTTTGTTTTTCTAGGTTTTCACTCTCTAGTTTCTGGGCTTCTTTAAAATATCTTCAATTTTTTTATTTATTTATTTATTTTTTTTTTTGTCATTTCACTCTATCTAAGGCTTGTCTCCTCCTCCTTCACTTCTAAAGCTTTTATCAACATTGTGGCTCTCCAGACTTGCCATTCAAAATCTTTTCAGGTATATCCTCTGGCATCCTTTCAATACTTCCCACTCACCAAAATTAACACTTTTCAATAGGTGTAAAAGTTCTTCATTCTTAGGCTGACCAGCCACCGAAAGTGAAGCTGTGCTGAGCTGAGCATAGCTGAGTCAGCTTCCAAAACGGAACAGAAAATTTTAATGAAAGGCCAGCCCAGCCACCAGATGAGTTGAGCGGCATCACAAGGGGTTACTCTCCTCAGCTTTGGCTCGACCGAGGTTTGGTTTTGAAGCTAAAAGCAGCCAGATATGGGCAAATGCTACTCTGACAGGGTAGGGATCGACCTGGAAAAATGGGAGAAGTCAGGGAATTTTTTTTGTACATAAATATTTTTTTCAAATTGAAAATAAATATACAGTGAATATCGTTTTTAATGACCTTGAAAGGGTAAATTTCGTCATCATAAACGACCACGGTCGCTATACTCATCCACCTTTGACTGTCAATAACGGCACTGGTCGTTATATTGAAATCATACAAGGGTAATGAATACAATTTAAGCAAAATGGACTTAAAACAGTGGTTTTTTTAAAAAAAAACATATCAATACTATTGACTATTTGTAACATATACATCTGCGTACATATTTATTTTTTTAAATAATAAACTTCTAAACATAATTCTATCTATAGATAAACATCAATTAGAACATTTTTCGATCTTAAAATGTAGGCTCCAGGCAAGCATCAATTTCTTTAAAAATTGCGTTTCACCGCATAAAATTCTCATGAACTTTCCACTAAACTTAACTCCATTTGTTGGTTAACTGAAGAGAACGCTGGCAGCTTCACTGCTGATTTTTTTTTAAAACAGTTTTTCTGTCAGGAGCAGAATATTTTATCCATCCTCGTAACATATTAGTGTGAGGTTCATCTAATGGATCACAAATTGATTTTAAGTATTCGTAAGTCTTTTCAAGTAAAATCTGCCCTGATCCTGATAGCGGAATATTGAGAAGAACCGATTCCGTCGTTGGTAGATCACTGCACAACCTCTCAAATTATTTTATTATGGTTCAGTGTAAAATATGCATTGGATGTGGAAGAATTCTTAATCGAATGTGTAAGGGAAAATATTCGATTTTATACATAAATATCCAATTTTTCTTTTCAACTCCGACATGATCGACTTTGCTATTTTTTTAAAATGTTATATATCCTATACATATATGTTTTTAAAATATTATATGGAATATGAGAAGGATACCAATGCAAGGCAAGTTACTGACTGAACTGAGCTCCACTGCACAATCGGTTGCCGACCCCCTCTTGCTACACTCAGCTCAGCTGCGCTTTCGGTGGTCATTCAACCTTACTCAACCTCTATCATACACCTTCACAGTAAGATCCTTATACCCTTCTGAGTACATCTTGATTCCCTAACATTCAATGATCTTTCGTTTTCTTTGATAAGTACTCAGGTTTCACAGCCATTTATCATTACTGCTCATATGGCTGTCTTATATACCAGATTCTGTTGTTTAAGATTCTGAACGTTAGTGGTATCTGTTGTGCAAAGAAACAACTATTGCCTGTGTTCAGTTGTGCTTCTATTTTTCTCCATAACAAGGACTCTTAAATATTTTAATTGGCTTTAAGGTGTATTGATAAAGTCTTATTTCTGGTTCTATTCTTTTTGATCATCTTCAGGGCTTCATATAGATAGTTTTACTGTTATTGATTTCCAGATCCAGTGTACTTGCTTTAATCTCCAGTTTTTGCAGTTAATCTCGCTGTTGACATATCTTCTGCAAATACTAAATGTTAGGACATCCTATTTCATATGTTCCTATTTGAATTTGTGTTAATCTCGATTGTCATATTAACAATATTTGGAAAAATGGGTTGTGTTATCTTAGCCTATGTCAGATTGCAAATTAGTTGGACAGAATTTCTTCTACATCGTCCTTAAAGCTGGTAGCTGCAACTGTCATTCTTACTGATCTGATAAGCTTTCTAGGAACTCCTAGGATCTCCATAGTTTTCATTAATTCCTTTCTATTGAAGCTATCGTAAGCCTGTTTATAGTCAACAAAGAGATGGTTCAGATCAACATTTAATTCATATTTCTCTTATAGTCTTTTTGAGAATTTCTCTTGCAGAAAAGATATGATCCACCATTTAGCAGCCTTCTCTGAAACCACATTGCTTCTTTTCCAACCACCTTTTGGATTTTTATTTAAGGAATAAGGAATCTGGGAAGTATTTTATATGATGTTTCTATAACAGATATGCGTCTTTAATAACTATTTTTTTCTAATCTCTATTCTATGAATAAGACCTATTATAGCTATAATTCATTGTTTTTTACTTTCACTTAACTATATAATATATAGTAAGAGAAAGTATTACAATTGTGAACATTTTCGAATCTGAGTTTTCAACAGAAATACATCTCTTGGTGTCCCCTGAGTCCAAATATCCAAGTTCTGCAAAATGGTCTGTGTGTGTTTGTGAACTGTCTAGCTCATAAACCAAAAGTCATAAACAACTAAAATTGTATATTTAAGGTTTTTACATGCCTAGGATGTTATTGCAACTTTTTCATCAAAATTGGCTTACCAGTTTACACATTTTTACAATTTTCTCAATACAGCTCTAACGATTTTGATTAAATTCATTATATCGGTGTAAAAGTAAGCAGTTTTTAATATAATGTAGATCTTATTCTCATTGAAAATGTCTTATAGGATTTAAATGCCTAATTTTCAAAATTTGTATCTCTAAAGTACCTTTATTATTATTATTATTTTTTTTAAATAATTGATCATTTCACATTGTAAATTTATATAAAAAATGGTTAAATATAACAACTGAAGAAAATTGATTGGTAACTAAAGGATTAATAAGGGTTGGAAGCTATACAATTTGTAGTTTGGAAACAGCCGAGAACGCACAACCTTTGCTAATCCTCTCCCTTTACAGATACCTGATACTCCTCTGTACAGGGCTTTCATATTATTAGTTTAACTTCTATATATCACTTATTCATAACTTCCTAAAAAGGGTTTCTCATGAAATGTTGAGAATCTACTAATATAAACCTAATAATCTACAATATTTACTAACATTAACTTATTTGTTTGACGAGTTTCGTGATAAATGTTAACCGATAAAACTCTATTTTTCTTCACAACCATTGTATTGTTTGGTACAATACACAGTCATAAAATGAAATGGAAAGTGATGCAAACATATAAATGTTAGCATATTCAATAGACAGGATTCGATAGATAGGAAAAACATGGTAATTGTTTTAAATGAAGTTATTACATCGTTTTCACTTTGACTTCTCTATATATGAAAATATCTATCTACTTCAAGGTTAGTAAGTGAAAGCTGTGTGATGTCGCACCCCACCAGATTTTTACATTTTAATATCAATAATTTAGCCTACTGTGAGCTAAACTTTGTAATCATAAGTTTCTTCTATAAATTTAAGTGAGCAGATAAAATAAATGTTTATATTAAGCATAAATACTTAAGGTAATTGATTAATCTTAAGGTAGTTGATATGCTCACTTATAATTATTTTACATAATTTTTATTCAGATTAATTATAACTTTATTGCATTGTGTAGGTTTAAGTGGAAGTCAACCTGACCTTGAACATAGAAGGGAGACTTTTGGCTCAAATACAATACCTCCTAAACCGCCCAAAACATTTCTTCAGTTAGTATGGGAAGCTCTTCAAGACATTACGCTTATTATTCTAGAAATAGCTGCTCTTGTTTCATTAGGACTATCACTTTATCAACCTGCAGATGACAAAGGTAAGCCTTTTATTTTATTCATAAAAAGAAGAAATTGGTTAAATTCATCATTTTTAGATATTTATGAGTGAAATTGATTGTTTAAAACTAAAAATATCAATTTAAAATAAAATTTTACTTTAACTTAATACATATTGCTCCGGTAATTTTTTGCACCACCACAAAATGCCGGCATCTCTTTATCTCTGTTTGGTAAAAATTAGAATTTAATTTACTTAGAATTAAAAGAAAATCAATTATTTTCTTTAATGTACAAATGACGAATTTTCATTATATGGCTATTGGTGACTGTTTGCGAAATTACGAATTTTCATCATGTCGACGAATATGTGTTAATAAATAAATTTGATAACAGCTATGTATTAATATGTCCAAACTTAGAAACAAATATTGATATAAATAAATAGTTAAATTTAATAATCTACAACACCTTACTGAGACCAATTTGGACATACGGAGCAGAACTTTGGGGTTCACCTAACCAAACGCACTTAAATAAAATACAAATAACACTATTCATAAGGACTTAAACATCCTAACAGTAAAATTCTACATCAATGACAAATACTCTTCATTTCATTCCTCAATTAAAAACCACTTCAATACATTAGTCCTTTCTATTTTCTGCTCCCTGTTGCCTAATCGACACAGACTAAAAAGATCCAATTTGTTAGATGTGCTGCAGTGCAGGCGCAAATGGTATAATATGTTAAAATAAATTAATTAATAATGTACTGTTTCTATCATGTTATATGCGTTGTTTATTACACCCAATATAATTAAGTTATAACATTTCAATCTAACGGGAGGATGCCACAACTCTCATTGGGTTGTATTAGGGTTTCATTACAATAAAATTATAGAGTTAAATATAAGTAGAGGTATCTTTCTACCATAATCTACATATAATAAGATTAAAATTATTGAATGAATTAATTTTCTTTCAGTGTTAGATGAAGATGAGGCGAAGCATGGTTGGATAGAAGGAGTTGCTATTTTAATATCAGTTATTGTTGTTGTACTTGTTACTGCGTTTAATGATTATACTAAAGAAAGGCAATTCCGTGGTTTACAAAGCAGGATTGAAGGGGAACACAAGTTTTCTGTTATCAGACAAGGAGAAGTAAAACAAATATCAGTAGGAGACATTGTTGTTGGGGATATTTGTCAGGTAATAAATTGTCTAAATTTAATACTATAATTTAAAAATTATGTTTAATATTGAATTGAAAAGTTAAAAATATGGTAGAACAAATTGTTTAAAATATTACATTGAATGAAAAAGTACTCCTCTCAGATGAACTTAATTATCTGCCTATTACATTCATTTTTAACATGTTGATTTTTTCATCATGATAGGTATATATTAGCATTTAAAAGAATAAAGTTTTTTTTTTTGAGGTTCAAAAATGTTCTGTTTTGAGAATTGTGTGTACATTAATTTACGAAATAAATCAATCAATTAAAATTTCAAGTCTATATTTATTGCAGATCAAATATGGTGACCTCCTTCCAGCTGATGGAATTTTGATACAAAGCAATGACCTAAAGGTTGATGAATCCTCATTAACAGGAGAGTCTGATCATGTCAAAAAGGGTGAATCAAGTGATCCTATGGTGCTTTCAGGTATTTTATAATAAAAAGAATAATGTTATTAATTCTTTGTGTATTTTAATTCAAACGAATCAAATAGAAATATCCCTATTAATTTTTGAGCAGTTTATTTAGTTTTAAGCATGTTGGAAGTGTTATATTTACAGATTCTTATAAATGTTTGTTTACAGACGTATTTATATAATGTTGTTATTTTTACTACCTATATTAAAACATTTATGAAAAAAAAAAAGTAAATTAAAGAATAAAAATATGAAACAAAATAACTCTTCTAAAGAAATAATATTAAAAAAAGGAATTATGCAATAAGTTTCGCTATAATCCTAGCAAAAGCCTTTTCTTTTTTTTTTCAATTTAAGTACTATAGCTAGTTCACAATTATTTGGCAGCTCGAGAGTGAACTCTTACTGCATAAAGTTAAAACTAATCTTACACTCTTATATATCTATAAATATATTTAAAAAATACAAACATATATTATAAAATTACATTGTAATCTTATAATGTATGTTTCTATTTGTAAATATTTTGTAAGTAATCTCAATATCGGTGAAGGAATAAAAACAACATTAGTTTCAACTCAGTATCACATGAATTAGTCCTTTTGTTTCAACTAATTGTGGATATTATAATATAACTAGATTTTTGTTGTTAATTAGAATTTAGAATTAACTTTGAATCTGAAATATAATAAAGACATTCTTTAAAAATGTATCTAACTGAAAGAATAAAATTAAAATAGTGACGTAATGGTGATAATGGTTTATTAAAAATTCGATTAAAGCTTTAATGTTTATTTCACCATTATTATATTCATATCTTGTGACTCAGATACTTTATATGACAATTTCATTATTTCAGGAACTCATGTTATGGAAGGAAGTGGAAAAATGGTTGTAACAGCCGTCGGTGTCAATTCTCAAGCTGGTATAATTTTTACTCTTCTTGGAGCTGCTGTAGATGAACAGGAACAAGAAATTAAAAAGAAACGAAAAGGTGAGTATTTATTTTTAGGATAAAAATAATTTTTGTTAATATAATTCTGAATGGTATTTTTAATGAATGTTTCTTGCTCGAAAATAGATTCCTGCATGTAGGCTTAGTATAGAAAGTATCATTAGCAATGTTTAATTTTAAATAATAGAATAAAAAATGAAATAAAAATTTTAATCACAAGCAACTTATGTTTTAGTTTATATGATTATCATTTGGTATAATAGAAAATAAGGTTTTATTTATTTATTTTTTTATTGTATGTTTCAGTTTCTTAGCTCATAGTTTACACTCTTTAAAAAATCCATTTTATGTCAATCGTCAATTTAATTGACAGCATTCAGCACCTGTATATTAATCAAAATTTATGTTCATTTACTTGTATAGTTCATTTCCAATTTTATTTTCTGAGTCATTTATCCTTTTGTTTGTGTTTACCCATTTAGTATTATAACATTCCTACTTAAATGTATTATAATTAGAGTTTTTAAAATTGCCTTTCTGGTGTTATATACCTATATGTTTAATTTTATAATTTAATGGAAAAAGCATTGTACAGTGGTTTAACTCTGTTATGACCCACATAAGGCACAAATAGTTGCTTGAAAATGTTGTATATGGAATAACTAGATTTTTGTGTGCCCCCTCCTTCTTTCCAGTGATTTGTATGTTTTACTAATGCATTTACCTTTTGCATGCCCCCCATATCTTCAGAAGCTAAAAAGAACCGCAAGAAGAAGAGTTTATCAGGTGACTTATTTTATAGTTTTTATTTTATTAATTTTCTTTCTTATTGAGTAGCAATTTGTACATTCAATGATTCATGATAGGTAATTATGAACACACTGAACACTTAATTTTGAAAGACAGCCATAGTGTATGATTGAGTTTATTAATTCATTAATTGTGCTTAAAAATTTTCAAAAGTTTCAAAACATTTCAAAACCATGGAAAAAAAAATAAATAAAAATCATTTCCTTTACTCATTCAATAAGTGGACCACAGACCTTGGAGATTTTGAATCCCCTTAATAAATTTCCTTCACCTTGGTCAATCAAGAGTAATTAATCAGCTGCCAGTTAACAGTTGACATAATTTATTTGGCATTAAAAATCAACAGCTAAGTAAATAGAATATCCATCTGCCAAAGTTATGTTTTAAACTTGGGTTGAATTATAAAAATCTTAAATTGCTTACCATAAACTTCAACTATGTGACTTATAATAATTATTTAACAATAAAAAAATTAATCTTTCATACAATAATATATGTTGCCTTACTGATTCAAACTTAAAATTGTTGTTAAAACTTATACTGTTTTAACAATTTGTGTAATATCATTTACTATAGAAACTCTGTGGTATGAAAATATAATTATCTTATATTATAAAGTGTTTTTGCTAATGCATGGAATATGCTAATAAAATACTTTGATTATAAATATGGTTCCAGACCAACTGGATTGACTATTTACTAATATTTTCCCTCTAGTTGGTATTTGAGATGAATCATGATTACAAATGTGTATTTCATCAACCTTATTTAGATTTCAAAAATTCTTATGGTAGTATTGACTATCAGAAGTATAATATTTTGATAGAACATGGTATACTGAAGAAATTAGCTAATATATCAAGAATATGAATGCCATGAACGTGTAGTAATGTACAAACCTGTAATTTTTATTCTGAGAACTTTGAGGGCCATAAAACTTTTCAAATAGAGAAATTTTATTTCTCCAGTTCTATATGCACTACAATAAATCAATAAAAAAAAACTTAAAATTGGTAAGATGTAAAGTTAATAAAGGGTAAGTATCTAAATGAGTTTGCCCAATTGGGATTTCCCCTTACACACATACATCATTCTGGCATAAAAACATAAGTGAAAAGTTTTGTAAATAAAAATTAAAAACAAACCAGTTAAAATACTAGGCAAAAACTACAAAAAAAAAAAAAAAAAAAAATGGGGGAACATATTATTTCTTATAATTGTAAATATTTCTTATTTTAACCAATTATGCCAAATAGGAATATGCTTTTATGTGTTTTATGAAGTTCAATAGCATGTGTCAACAGAAGCTTAAGATTAATATTTTCCATGGAAATTGAACATATAGAGCCATAAATTGCGTTTATGAAACTTATAGGGATTTGGCCTTTTTTGCTGCATACTCTTGTGCTTAGGCCGGAGAACATTTTTATAGTTAAAGGCCACAATAAGGATAGGCAATTGTAATGGAGGCCGCAACCTTTTTTATATTTTACTGTTACTATTTTATTTATAAGTAAATACAAATTACATTCAATTTAATTCAATTAATTTTCGTAGCCTCCATAATTAAATAATAATTGATTCTAGCACTAGACTAATGAAGATTACTGAAAATTAACGGAGGTCACATGCGACCTTAAGGCTATAGGTTCCCCACTTGTGATCTAATGGATTAACGGTTTATCATAGAAAAAAATTTAGTACATAAAAAATAGATAATTTTTAAATTTTAATTTTGTATATAGTGGTATTCTCTTTTAAAAAAACTGCCAAAAAATAATATATTTCAAGATGCATATGAAAAACCCAATAAAGTGCCATACTTTTAACTTTTTCTGAAGGGAAATAAAACAAGTTTCCAGACAAAATTTCTACCAACAAGCCTCAGATTATATTCAGTTCTTAAAAAGCCTTTAGTGAACCAAATTTATGTCTACAACAAAACTTTCCCCTATTTATTCTATTCTGTCCTAGTTTGACTGAATTATTACTCCTTTACTCATCTTTGTAAATGCTGGCAGGACTGTCTATGGAACTTGCTTAATAGATTATCATTATTATAAGGTTTTAAAAAATTTAGAAATATATCACTTTGATTTATGTAAGCAGGACATTTCACAATTATATGCTGGAGGTTTTTTTTTTTGTGTTACATTTATCGCACTTTGAACAATTTTTATCGCCAATGTGCTGCAGGTATACTTTGCATAAACTTTGATCTAAGTATAGACAATTTTTTACTGTGTTTCTTGGTAGGTTTAATTCGAAGAACCATGGCTTATTTAAAATTTGCGGTACACTAGACTTATAAACTTTTCCTGTGAGAGACTCCTCATAATGATGGAATTTTAAGTTTCTTTACCTCATTGCAATAATGGCATGATTGTTCCAATATTAGAAGGCTGGATTTGGTGCTAGGAAGTTTTGTCTTAATGGAGGACTGAAAATGTATATGTTTATTTCAATTAAAAAAAAAAAAAATCATCAGCTTTATTAAAAATTAAAAAAATTATGCAAACAGTAAACTGTATGTCAGTGTCAATACTATCCATTGTGTACGTACTACTGTTTCCTATTGTGCAATTTGAATTTCTCAAACATTTTTTGTTAATCCCTTAATTGACTCAGTTCATTTTTATTCCTTTTTTTCTCAAATATCATAGCTATTTGTTATCTTAAATGTATTTTAAACTATTACTCACTATTCTTTATATACCCGTTGTTGGACTGCATGATTTATCACATCATTTTGAAGATTTTTCCATCCATATTTCACTGTAGTTAAAGATTCCAGTGTACTACCTTCTTCATAGTATTAAAGTACTATTATAGCATGCAATTATTTTTAATTTCAATTAAACTATTGAAACAATTTATTCATTATTCCCATATTATACTCGTTATGTTATTTTTTTCTACCCGTTATGTTATCATTTTACGAACATGTATTTCGAAGCAAAAATTGTTAATTAAAATGTTAAAATAATCTCCTACACATTAATGAATGCTATTTATTTTATTTTTATTATATATATGGTCAAACCCATGTATGTGTCTACCACACTTGGAATATTGGAAAGAATAAAGAAAATTCTGGACTTTTTATGAAAAAGCATTGAAAGTCGTGGAATTTCACAAGCCAGGGAAAGCAAGTGCGAATTTTCATTTGGATTAAAACTGAATCAAACAATAAATCAAAAGTATTATTGGTCAAACTGAAAATGAGTTTACATAATACTCCCAAGTGGAAATGTCTGTAATTGAGGTGGAGATGGAACAAAAATATAGTTTATCATCAAAAACCTCACATTTATATCTCAATCCATTGTTAAGATATGATTTTTTTGAGAGTTTCACAAGAAAACTACTTTTTTTCCTCATATAAATTACAAATTTCTGAAATCAGAAATTTATCTAATTTAATTGAACATTTCTCAACTTTTATCACCATTTCTGGAATATATCATTAATTTCTATAATATAGCAATTAATTTATTGGAAAATATTGCTTCATCAGGCTAGCATAAAGCCAAAGCGAAGTAAACAAGTTAAAATGAATAATTTTAGGAAATACTACAATCGTTCATAATAAATTTTTGATTTACGATCTTGAGCATTTCTAAAAATTTTCATCATTTCATCAGATTTTCAATGATATTCTCAACTTTGCAAAGTCTGTCTAATTTCAAAGAGATATTGAGGTTAGGAGGTCAAAAAAATATTGGTTGGATAACTCAACCATGCAATGACAGGCAACTAAAGCTTCCCAACACTCATATTTATGCTTCCAAAAAGAGCAGCATTTTGAACAGTTTCTTAGTTAGCTCCTATTTCTACCAAACCTTTATAATGCTATGAAGTTCTTTCGTTCTATTAAATAGTGATTTTTTTTTATTTTTTATTATTTTGTGATGTACCTACACATTCATGAGTTTTATTCATGCTGTCATCTATCTTTCATTTTCATTAGAAACCATAAAGTTGTTAATATGTCTGAATTTGCCAATTACTTTTTCAATCTTCAAAAGGTTATGTATTATTGTTGGTGGAACAATAATAGGCTTTCCAAATATTTGCAGAAGTAACTTATCAACAACTCTCTTTACAAGATACTAAAACCAGCTCAAAAATGCTTTGTATATAGTCGTATTTTTACAGGTAATTAATATTTTCTTATATATCAGTCTCAAAATATTTTCTAAATTAAACTGGATTTGAAAAGTTTGATGTACCCTTAAAGCTTCAGAAATAAATCAACTATTTTTTTATCATTTTCTTTTTTAATTCTCTTATCCATTATTCAAAAATTCATTGTGTGAGATCCTACAGAATATTTCTGAAATGTGTTAATTTTGCTTATTTACTTTGCTTTGGCTGCATGTTTGACACAGTAATATTTTCATAGGAATTGGTTTCCTATCCTGTTGAAAATTAATCATAGATTCCAGAATAGGTAAAAAAAAAAAAAGTTGAAGAATATTCAGTTATGTTACAAAATTAAATCTTTTATGGGAGAAAAACGTTGTGTTCTTGGGAAAAAAAATTAAAATATATTGCTATAATGGATTGAAATATGAATTTGTGGTTGGTGGCACTGAATTACATTTTCATTAGACTATCTTCAGTGAATGAGATATCGTTCTGGGGCACCCTGATGACACAAGTGTACGTATGACACTTCAGATTTATTATGGTTTGAGTTTTCTTTATATACAATAATCATAATTGTTACAACAGCTCACAGGACATTATTCCTGAATGGTTTTATTTATTTTAACAGACCATGAAAAACTTTACATAATTAAGTTTAGCTTGTTGCTTTTTTTTTCTAATGATATTCTTAAAATATATTATAAGAATATAAGGTACTTCTTCACTAGCAGGCCGGGACTGACTACTATCTGCCAATGTTTATAACCTGAACACTGATAATTCCGATAAGGCAGTGATAAGCATTCTCGTTATTCCTATCTTCA